AAATTTTTAAAAACCCATGACGTTAAAGCAACACACAAAAATAAAACACTCATTCAATTTTTAAGGGAAATCCGCTGTAAAATATACAAAAATGTTGGAAAAAAGCCTGGGAATTAAAACGTGCTGCCTTGTTATTATATGGCCAAACAAATTCCCATATATAAAGTAAATAAGCCCCGAAATTTGAATTGTAAATATGCATGCAGTGTCGAACTTTCGATTTCAGCCAGGCGATATACATGGTATTAGGCTTTAATTACAGCATGTGTGAGATGCGAAACGGTTTGTAATTTATTAATCAATTATTTACGAGTGCGGAGGCACTTTTGGAATCGCACTCGATTAGCATGCAACAGCAATCGCCAAAAGCCACACAACACCAGTAGCACCAGAAACGCCAAAAACAGAGATGTGTGGAGTGGATGAGGATGAGCACTTCAAAGTAACTCCACGGCCCCTCGAATCCATTTACTTCTTGGAAACAAGAAACAAGAAACAAGAAACTGGCTGCTTTTATCTTGATAACCCTGATGAGCAGCCAAAGCCAAGATGACGCCCGATGTGCCAGCGACAACGCGAATTTAACTTAATTAACTAATTGTGAGGAGGGCAATTTCACTCTCGTCTCGAAAAGCGCCCAGCTTTGCTTCATTTCATATTTCCAGCCAAAGGACCCACTAAACTATTTCCAGGGAATGGCACTTGGCCTTAAAGGGACTGCCAAAGGCATTTCCCCAAACTATTTCCCTGGAATTTGTCGTGGGCTAAGTGAACCGCAACGGCAGTCTTCATTATTGTCAAGTTGGATGGGTTGACTTTAAGATAACCTGAGGTAATTTAATACTACAACATCTAAAATAAATTCCTGACTATTGAGTTCAAAATTTAAAGAAGAAATTATAGAAGGTTCTCTCTGGAGTTATACTCCAAAATAAATTTCAAAGCTAAATCTAAGACATTTCCCGGAAATCCATCGCATTTTTCCAAGCTTATGTGTAGGTAAATAGATTCGCCCAATAGCAACCACAATTTCAGCCAATTAATTATTATTATTTTCAATGAATATTCCATGAAAACCTGTTTCCTGTCCTGTTTTTGCCCACTTTTAACTTTTGAAGTGGCAACTAATCTGGGTTTAGGTGGCAAATTCAGTCGGCGGAACGACAGTCAACAAGAACGTTTTCGGTTTTGACAAATATTTGCATTGAAAACAAATTAAGATGTGCGTTTGTTTTTTGTTTTTAGGTTTTTTCTATTATCATTTTTGCTTGGCAGGCAATTCGCAAATCATTTGTTTACAAGCCCTCCGCCTTGTTTTTCGCCTTGTTTTTTGCCCTGTTTTCCTCTGCTGTTTTTTCGGCTGTTGTCCTTACGCTTAAGTGATGTCAATCAATTAAATTTACACACCAGGAAAATGGGAAGACAAAAAAAAAACAGGAGGCTGGGAAAACCCAGTGGCAGCGCTTTATACATTTTTCATGATACTCGCGTGTGGCTCTCTGTTGCTTTTCCGCATTTTCCCCCTCCCCCTCGACTTTCCCCCTGCCAGAAAAGCTATGGCTGAAATTTGTAAACGTGTTTATCTTGTTTTGCCCCTGTCCTTTTGGTCTCTGTGTGTGTGTAAAGTAAGCTTATGAGTGGTTAGATGGGCGGCAAAGTGTGTGAAAAAGTGGGCGGGGCAGCAGGATAAGCTGCAAAAAATAAAAACGGAGAAAACTGGGGGACCGAGCGACACAACACAATAACATTTGCATTTGGCTGAGGTGTAATTCCTAAGCTTTATGGCAAGCATTATTATAACTGCCGGAATTGCTGCATTTCATTTAGTCGACTTTTAAGAGCAAATGAAACCAGCTAAATGTTTATGGCTCAACTGATTAGTCGGCCAAAACAATGGATCTTTTCCGAGTACTCTAGCAATTCGTTGCTGCCAATTGTATTTAACAATCTAATAAATTTCCCTGGGATATAATCCAATTTCGAATTTGTGTTTTAAATTTCTGAATTTAATATATTTAAATTGTTAAATTGTTAAAATAAGCTTACAAGGCTAATTACAAAATTGGATTTTACAAAAGATTCCCTTAAATTAAAAACTTAATACAAAATTCTAAAAGTTTTCTTTTAAGTTATTTTAATTCACTTTTCTAATTATTTTTGGTTGTAATGTAAAATAGCTAATTTAATTTCATTCAAGTAAGAAATTAATTTAAAATAATATAATTGTAACATTTCTTTTCAAGATAAATTATATCGTAGCTACAGCTTAAAAGCAATTCCTTACTGGTAAAAAAAAATAGCTAGTAGTAGTTTGTTTTCAATTTAAATATTTTTCGGATTATGAATTGCATTTAATGACTTAATTTAAATAAAAAATAACATATGAATTTCAATAGTATGATATTTATTTGGACCATTCCATTTTTTATCAGTGCAGTAATTTACAATGTTCACTGCATATGGCTTTTGGACATGCGTGAAATATCTTCTTAACATTGGTAAATGGCTCTTAATTCCAAAAACTGGTCCGCATTTCACCTTTAACGTTCCAATTGTCCAATTGTCCTCGGCAGAGGCTGAAACTGTGGCTGCTTCTATCTGGCGAAATTGCACCTCAAATGTAACATCATTTCGAAATATTTGCCCGCAGAGAGGGACCATTTGCGAGTGGAGATATGAGAGTCCGACTTTATGAAGCCGGCTTTAATTTGGAGCAAAAGGAAAAGGGGGCCCATTGTGGTGGTCAAAGCCTTCGAGTCAAGTGCTTATCAGTTCAGGGGCGGTGCAGAAGGGGTGGTTGAAGGGGGGGTGGAAAGGGGGAAAAGGGCTTGAAAACATCTTGACTGACTGCACTTTATGGTTCATTTTGCATGCCTCAGATGAGTTGAGGTCTGGACCCCTTGGAAAAAAAGGGAAAATGTCCAAAAGGTTTCAGTTACATCTAACCCAGCTTTTCCCCCCACTTTTCCACCCACTTTTCTTTGGCTTTTCTTGTGACTATGCGTTTTGGTATTTTTACTGCTGCGTTCCCATTTGCGAGGCAGAGAATTTTGAGTTGCTTTTTCATTTTTAATGCCACATCTCTGTCTCTTGGACAATGTTTGCTGGGCGAAAAGAGGGTTTGCAGGGGTTTGCAGGGGCTTAGGGGGTGGATATGCAGGACTTCAGGACTTGTGTGCCTTGTCCTTGCCTGCAGCGTTAAATTCTTGTTAAAATATTATGGCAAACTTTTTGCACCATTCTTTTGCGCTTTAAAAAGAATTCAGCCTATGAAATCTCTACGTCTAGGCCTCTTGGATTTGTTTAGGGTTGCCAAGGTCCTCTAAGAAATGGAAAGGGCCATACCGATATCATTAAATACCTTAAAACTACCCAAAACCGTCAAAAACTCTTTTTTTTTATATGAAGAAAATATAAAATACAAAACGAGAAAATATTTTTCTTAAAAGTCTCTTGGCAAAGCCGAATTTTTTTTTAATACTGATGGGAGGTTTTACAAAATATGCAACATTAAAAAAAAAATAAATATTTAAAAATTTTTTAAAGTTTTATATTAGCTAAAACTCTCCTCCCCTAATTGTAATATTTTTTTTATGCAGATTTAATTATTTATTTTTTTTTTTTAAATCGTCTTTTGTTTGGATTCCGTGGAACACGATTTTGAGACATTAAATCGGAGATAAATTATGTGTTATTTAAAAATTATTTGTTGATTATATTTCGGTTTTAAAACCCAGCTTCCCGCATTATATACAAAGTTTCAGAGAGTGTTGCAATTTTGAGAAATGCTTAAGGTCAGAACAATCGAAATTTGACAATTGAGGGTCGCAATTATTTCAGTTGATTTCGCCCGAATTGACGCCTCCGCCGTTTGCTTTGAGAGAGGTCCTTTGCCAAACACTTAATGGCTTACAATACCCCCATCCCCTCTCCCCCCCAAAACCCACGAGATTCACGGCCATGTCGCACCTAATTAGGCCAATTAAATTTAGCTGCAAATTACACACATTAAATGTGTAAATTGGGCGGTCAGCTAAAATTGAAATTAAATGCATGTCGCATGTGGCATGTGGCGCATCGCGTGTTAAAGCCAGATGTCACCTGGATTTTGATTTTGATTTGGATTTGGTTTCGGATTAAGCGGATGCACTGAGCCACACCCCCAACAGCAGGGATATCTGATTAGCGAGTTAAGTGGCGAGTGCAACTTTGTCACGAAAAGCAATTGAATTAAAATTAACTGCAGTGGATTTTCCAGTGTCAAGCTAATAAAACTGAATTTGCATATACTATTCCACGCATTTTACAATTGTGTATTTTTTTAATTACATTTAATAAAATTAAACAAGTTATTAACTTAATATCTAGTTGAGTGGCATGCGATTTATTTTTTTTAAACTCAATCACTTTTAAAGCATTGGGTTTATTATGATTTTGAATTACCTTTAAAAATATATCTAAGCTTGAATATTTATTGCACATTTTTTTCAGGCATTTTAAAATTATTCATTTTTTGAATTACCTTTCAACTTATTCTTTAGTTGAGTGGCTTTTTGTTTTTTTTTACTCAAAAATCAGTTTAACATGTCTCTGTTTTGCCCACATTTTTCTAAACGTTTTTCCGTTTTTTTAATTTTACAGAACTCTCAAAACGGATTTAAAATTTTTTAGAATTTCGCCAAAAAGTAATGAAAAGCACAAAAAAAAAAAATCTAAAAATGGAACACTCCATTGGCAACTTTTTTATGCACAGCTGCAATGTCTTCAATGAATCTTGTCTTCTTGTGAATCCCACGTGTCACTTTCACCTGTCCCTTTGCATCCTTTTAAGTTTCATTAATCATGGGCCGAAACAAAAGCCGCTCCGGATGTGGATGTTCATTAGAAGGAAAAGTGCGAAAATCCCTAGGCCAATTAAACGTTCCTTCAATATTCAGACTGGTTTTAATTCAATTACCGGCTTCTTGACTCAATTTCCGCCACCAGAAGCTTTCACTCACCTGATTTGATTTCTTAGAGTCGCTGGACAGCGGAAAACTTAAAAAAAATATATAACGAGAAACTGGAACAAAACACGTGGAAAAACTTTGGCACGAAAAAACAATTTTTCAAACGGTTTCGCTTTCGCTTGCACTTTAAATCTGTTTTGAAAATTAGTTTTTCCTATAGTTGGTTTATATTGAAGCGATAAATTGTGATTATTTTCGTGAGACACATTCAAAAATAAAGAAAAAATGTTAACTGTTTTAGACACTTTGGAAAAAGTACCTATTTCGAACTGAAATTGGTTCGGATTGAAATTATTTCTTGGTTTCAGCCCGAGTTGGTCCTTTTTTTTGGTCCGCCACACAACCGTCGGTCAGGACATTCGCCAGCGAACTACGCGCCATCCAAAGCGAAACAGTCGCCAAGTGGGCACAAACCAAAACACACGGCCGAGCCGAAGGATTCGAAGGATCCGAAGGATGCGCCTCGACTCGAGCGATTTGCCGTCTGCGAAAAGCACTCAAAATATTACTAAGACATTTGACTAAATGATGCAAAATATATTTGTTTTATTAACAATTAAATTATTCAACCGCACAAGATATAGACATTATTATTCAATCCCAAACAAAAAACGTTATACACAAATATATTTTCTTGGTTTTCTAATCAAGAAAAACACTTAAAATATTACTGAAACATTTAATTTAATGCTGTGAACTGTATTTGTTTCATTTAAAATAACATTATTCAACCGCAAGCAAATAATGTTATATGCAAAAATATTTTTAATTTTTTTTAATTAATAGCACTCATATTCCTATGAACAGACACACAAAAAATTGTTTTTTCTTACCTATAAAAATAATAAAAATAGATATTAATGCTTTAAATTGGCGATTTTCCTTAAACTATATATATGCCTTTAATATTTAAAGCGCAACATTTATTATTATAGACTTGAATTGGTGGGCAGAACATTTTAAACTGTTCTGGTTTTTTTAATTGGAAAATTTCAAAGCTGACTTGATAAGCTTTTTTTATGACGACTTCTAATAAACGAGTCCTAATCTACCATACACTGCAAATAAAAAGATGGAATGAAAATGACTTGTTACATATTTTATCTTAAATATTTTATAACATCACATGGAAAATTGTATCACATAATTAACAAATTTTTCAAAGTTGTTTTACAACAAATTAACATAAACCTATTTTTATATAAATTGGTTAGTAATTAGAAAAAAATTTCGTGACTGCTTTGAATATTAGCATTGTCTCTTTAATTATTTTCAGTTCACTTTACACAAATGCCACAATTACCTTTAAATATTTTCTTATCGGTAGCAAAAAGAACGCAACAGGCGCGCATGCAAATTCCCAAAGGGAATAAAAATATTTGTAAACAAAGCGAAATTGAGCGCAGAAGCAGAAAACCCGAACTCAAAGTATGCCGGATGGTTGAGGTTGAGTGAAGTCTCAATTTGAGTGGCATTTTTTATGAATGAAATCGAAAGTGGCCATAGAGATTTAAAATGTTTGCTATTTTATGACATCAGCTAGTGTTCAATTTTGCTTACTGTATCTTTGTTAAAAAAATAAATAAAACAAATTAATAGTAAATTTATTACAATTTAGATAAGGAAATTCAAAATTTGCCGCGGTAGAGCTGACACTCTTATCGATAAGTCCGCTCTAATAATGTGACCTTAGCAAGGGCGGTAAAAATACCAAGTCTACGATTTTAAATAAATTAAAACCTTCTATAAGTAGCTTTTACTTAAAAATTCACAAAAATTTAAATTAAATAATTAAATTTGTTTCTTTCTTGTAAAAGCAAAAAAAAAACTTGTTAATATATAATTAAAAACTTGTTTTGCGTAGAACATATTTTATCGTATGATATCTAAGTATTTGAAAGCAATTATAATATATATTACTTATATTATTTAATAAAATTATTTTTAATATATATATTTATATTACAAATGTTAAAGTTAAGCTTAACAGTTTGTTGGTATTCTAGCACCCACGGTTATACCATTTCCCAAATTCGTCGAAAACCAAATCTATCGATGTATCGTTTGTTGTTAAATTAGATATTTTTAGAATTGTTTTAGCTAACAATATTTTGTTGTAATATTTGTATTTCTAATTACGATAAAATTAAAAGTTAAACTACGATAAACATACGGAGTGCGATAGTTCTACGAGATGGCAATGCCTGAACAACCATTTCCCATTGATCTGGCAACTCCCCCAGAGCACGCCGCATGTTTTCGTTTAGTTTATGTTTTGCTTTGCCATAGAACTATTTTAAACCACTTTAAGAGGCTTACAAATGAAGAGATTGGCTGGAAAGAAGGACGAGGACATGGGCGAGCCCTTGGCCAAAATGCGACTGCAGTCCAAGGCGAATTCCCTGCTAAATGCCACTAATGTGGACACCAAAGCGCTCGAGGGGTTCGTTCGACTGTTGGTAAGTCGCTTAATTTATTAAATAACTGACAAAATATGACTAAACTTCAACTTATTACACCGAAGAAGGATAGCCCCGAAAATGGTGTGCCAGCTGGCGAAGTAATGAACGTGCTGGAGGTCATATTCAAGAACCTGCTGAAGCGCAGTGAAAAACGTACCCCCGCAGTTCACAAATTGTACGAGGAAACTTGGGTGCTCCTCAGTCAGAATCTTCTAGTGGATTCCGAGTGCTCGGTGGCTGTGAAAGTGTGCATGCAACTGATCAAAGTGGAGGCCAAGCATCCCCTGGCACCGAAAAAAGGTTGGCCCACGCACAGAATCACGGAAATACTGGAAACCCTCTTGAATGCCGATGAGACACCCACCAATGCGCTTGCAAACTATGGAAAATACTGCAAAAACCTCGATGTCCTGGAGGTCACGCTCAAGCAACTACTGAAGCTAGTGCCCAAGGAGGACTTCAAGGACATGCCCGTGAAGGCCATGAACTTTCTATCGATCGTTAACCTTCTGGATCTGGGAAAAACAGTGCTCAGCACGGCGGATTACCATGTGGAAGGCGCCAAGTCGCAGACTTTTGACTACGAGCCAAATAAGACTAGATTGAACGATCTCTGGCTGGCCATAATGAGCAAGAGCAGCGAAGTGGATGAGAAGCTGCACCGCCAATTGCTGGTGGTGCTACTGGAACGCATTATCAACCACCTGAACGACCCCATACAGCTGACCGACTTTCTCATGGACTCACTGCATCAGTTTGGTGGGTATTTACCATACCATTGGGAAATCTTTACAAAGCAATGATATAAACCTCTTCTTCAGATGGCCCCATTGCATTGCTGGCCCTGCAGGGCATCTTCACGCTCATGCAAAAGCAGAACATCACCTACCCGGATGTGTACGAGAAGCTGTACAACATGTTCTATCCCCGCATGTTCTACAACAAGTACAAGGCTCGCCTCTTCTACCTGGCCGACATCTTCCTCACCTCCACCCATCTGCCGGAGAACCTGGTGGCGGCATTTGTGAAGCGCCTCGCCCGCTTGGCTCTGCAATCGCCCACCGAAGATGCCGTCATCATGGTCCGCTTCGTTTGCAACCTGTTGTTGAGGCACACGGGCCTCCAGAAGCTGATTCGCGCCAGTCACGCGTCGGCCGACGAAGTCAGCGATCCCTACAACGAAACCGAAACGGATCCCGTCAAGTCGGGGGCCATCAATAGCTCGCTGTGGGAGATCACGCTGCTGCAGAAGCACGCTATTCCCGAGGTGGCCAATGCGGCCCGGTTCATCAACTCGTCGCTGCCCATCATGGAGTTCGATTTGGCACCGCTTCTGGACAGGAAGGAGTGCAATGTAAGCTTGGTCTTTCGAAGACACTCTTTATTAGGGCGAAATAACAATTTCGTTTGCCTCCAGGTGTTCGACGACGAATTGCAATCGAAGGCCAAGCAGTTTGCCCTGAACTACGAGCGTCCCGCCAACTTGGCCCTGCCCAAAAACGAGTTCGTCACCAAGTACTGGGAGCTCGTCTAGATTAGTGTTATTGTGCCTGACATAGTTTAAGCTGGATTAAAGTGCTGCCTGTGCGGCTGCTGATGATGGGCCAGTTCGGCCCGAAACCAATTGGCCGGTGAAATGTGTCTGATTTGCACCTCCTTTGGGTTCGCATCCTGCTGCTGCTGGCTGAGCTGTCGCATCTCCGAGCAAGTGCGGCAGGGACGTATGAGGGCAAAGTACACGCACTCGGCAATGGAGAGGCAGCTGAAGCCCAGGAACAGGCCCATGAGTCCGCCCACGCAGGCTGCAAGCGAGAGTGGCTAAGTTTGGGTAAGTCTTTGAGTAGGCAGACCTTGACTCACACAGGAAGTCGGAGAAGCCAATGAACTCGGTCTGCTTGTGGGCCCTGAAGGTGGGATCCACGAAGTACATGTTCACCACGGCCACGCTGCGCTCCACATACGCGTCGGTGAAGTTCCAGCCGAAGTGCAATGGCATTCGCGATATCCGCGTGGAGTAGGCGATGCCGCTGAAGCTCAGGTCGAAGCACGAGGGCAGGCACTCCTCCAGACACGACTCCATGGCCACAATGGTCCTGAACCGGATCAGCTCCACGCAGTCCCGCTGGCGCAGCGAGCAGACGGTGTCGTTGCCGCTCAACCGCGGCATGTAGAAGGCCACGCAGCCGCAGTGGCGCATTAGCCAGCCCGACAGGCACTCGGCCACGCAGTTTCGCTGAGTGTAGTGGGCAAACCAGCGCAGCCTCAGCTCGTTGCGGAACAAGCACCGCCTGCTCTGCCGCCGCACATGGCGCAGGTGCTTCTCGGTCAGGATTTTGGCCGGATCTATGCGCAGTTTGGTCTCCATCCCGGGCGCCAGCAGCACGCCGGTCTCGCGCACATTGGGCGCCTCATTGGGACTGTGCAGGGCGACCTTGAAGCCAATGCTGCTGGACGAGGAGCAGTAGTAGGCATCCGCCTGCACGTCCAGCGTGAGCGACAGTCCCAGCGATTCGCCAGTGCCCTGCGCTCGTCGTGGATGCACCGGACTGTCCACATCCTCCTCCTGCTGCTGCTGCTGCTGCTGGGTGCCCCGCTTGCGGTAGCCCGACTCCGCGTGCCAGTTGACCGACTGGAAGCCCGCGGGCAGGCTTATGTTGCGGTGCGAGTAGGGAACGCTTCCAACGAAAAGGTTAGCGAAATATTAAGAATGTTTACTCGAAGCGCAGAGAGTATGTAACAAACAGAAGGAAATTTCTATTGACTGTCTGTCCGTTGAATGTCAATAACTCGATCACTATTAAATCCAGAGATTTGGGCTTTCACTTGCAGATTCTAGATGGCCAGGCCCACTCTAATGCCCACAAATTGCAAATCCCTGGCATGTCATTCTGGGTGT